ATCATAAACATCATGATGAAAGCAGGTATCTTGTATATTAGATGTCTTAGGAATATGATCATATGTACTGAATTAAAACAAGAGTTTAAAAAATGATTCAAACTTCCCAGATGTGACTACCACCAACATTAAACAGAATATGGAAGGCACTGAACAGGCTCAGGTACCTTGCACTCAGTAGAAACTACAATAACTTAAGGCATCTTTTGGATGGCTTTGGCTTCTGAGGTTTGCTAAAGCACCATTTCAGCACTATTTACGTAGGTAATAAACTATAATTACTAAAAAAGAATAAATATATTGCATGAAATAAACCACACTTTGGTCTTCACATCAATAACAATATCTTTTCACTCATGAGAGCTATTTTCTTGCTTTGAAAGATCACCGTTTGTTTGAATAAATAGGCAGAGAGGAAGCTTTTCCAGCTGCTTTATAAGGAAAATGAGACCCCAAATTGGAAGAGACATGTATGGTAATGAGAAAGGGTGATGATGAGTGGTGTGTAACTGCAGGCAAATGCCTCACTCCTTGGAGGAAAATTTAATGATGGGTTACTTTTCCAATGGGAAAGTAATAACTTAGGTGAGTAAAGTTGTGCACTCCAAAAATGAAATTATTTTCAGTTTTAAAATGTAACCCCAAAGCTATATACCTGTGAGTATCATTAACTCAGCACCTAAAATGCATTTTAATATCTCATTCTCTGAATTACTCTTTGGCCCTTAAGATTTAGCAGGAGACTTAAGAGACATGACATGAATGTTGATCAAGATTCTTAGTTCTTGGACACTTTGGAAAATTATTCTGGATATGTAAAGGAAAACAGGAGATGCAGCAGTTGTTAATTTTCCTGTTGATTGTCTATGCTTGACAAATGATATTTTATTCATTTGAAGCATGAGTCTACTTCTCCCAATTCATCGTTTTTCATGGGAAAGACATACTCTGAAAAAAGTAGAGGCCCTGCACTTATGTCCAGGGTGGAAGATCCCAACTGCACACTGGCTCAAATGTGTCGATGCTCAATATATAGTTGGATTAGTGAGTTGATGTCTTATTTATTTTCTATGTTGCATCTGACACAAATACTACATGCTGATGTCATGAAGCTTCCCACCAAATTTATCACTATAAATACGTATGCTTAGTAAAAAAAAAAAAAAAGTAGTGTGCATTAGTCTTTCACATTTCTATCCTAGATATTTAAGAGTTAGCACTTCTTTCACACCTTGTTGTCCCGTTTCCATCTTTTAGATGACAAAAAATGAGGTAAGAAGGGAAATAAACTATTTGCATATAAACCCTTTTGACTTAAAGAAAATAATCAATACATGATCTACTTAATGCCAAAATGATTGGTTTAACCTGCATTATCACTTTTCACTGGTTTATTTTGGAATCATGGAATAAGAATAATAGTTAAATGGTGCTTAACTATTACAAATAGAAGACTGTCAGATTAAAAAGAATCAGCCCCTGCCAAATACGTTGCCATTGAATGCTGTATGCTGAATACTCATTTTATATATCGATTGGATTTTTCACCCACATGTCTTTGCTGCAAGCTGGAGAACAAAATCATAAATATTGTATAGATATGTTTGTGTTGTATAGCCAATATGTATATATACATATGTGTATTACATAAATTATGTATATGTCACACATACACACACACAGAATGCTGAGAAGCTGCTTGTAAATGCATCTTCTTGCTTCTTGCTTAGATAGTTCTTCAGCTAGCATCTTTGCTGTCGTATGCTACTGTGAAATGCATCATAATTAGCTGTACATTTCATGTCATGGAACTGTACCACCCGGTGATAACAGGGAGTAGAGCTGTCAGTTCAAGTATCAAGAGTAAGAAGGGATATTAAGCACAAAGATGACAACACAATAGGAATATTTCTGATCCAGGAGTCACTCCAAGTTGGGTCCTCTACGGAGCAACGTGATATCTTACAAGGGAATCTATTCCCAGTATCCATAGGCGCTGCTCTCACCCCTCACCAATATTTGCCCACAGAGAAGTTTGCTTTTAGGCTTGAGTTTGGGGGAAGCCTCTAAAATTATTCACACAAGTCTCCTACTCCTGATTCTGCTTATGCTTGCAAATGAAGACTTCATTTCAAAAGTACTGGATGGTGCCAGATATTAATGCCAACATTTAAGTTAGCTACCCAAAGCAGTTTGAAAATCGAACATCTATTGCCTCCACACATAGCATATCTGAATACACAGAAATGTAGTTTAAAAACAGACCACCTGTTGGAGCATTATGTAGAAAACTAGGGAAAAGGTACATTAAGAAAAACATTAAATACAAAAAAGAGATGAAGAGAAGAGATAGTCATTTTACCCATATTCCTAAAATTTCTGCATTACAGAAAATACAGAATGTTTAGTCTGAGCGAAGTAGTTTAGTTATTGGGACAAATATGCATGTGAAATTATTGTTTAACCTGTGCCACCCCAACCTTCTTCCCCCCAAATCACAACTGCTTATCTCTTTCTAGCCCTCAATTTCACCTTCATGATTTCCCACAGATCACTGCAATTAAAGAGCTATGTGAAGCAATTTGGCAAAGGAATATTCACTTCTATAAAAACTAACACTGCTCTCTAAGTCCTTTTTCCCACATCTCAACTGTTTTCAGATTCTTACTCAGTCATTTGTAATTTTCTCACCACAAAGTATTATAGAAGTAATTGTGCTCTATTACGTTAACTGATACAGGTATTGTTTAGTTTTGAAGTTATTATTGCTCAAGACTTCCCTCCATAGAAAAATATGTCTCTTTCTTGTGCAAGCAAGTGGCAATTTTATTAACACCAATAAAAATTAAACATAACTTTGCTAAAAAACCCAAACCTGTTAGTATGGGTGTCTACCAATCTTGTTTCTACAGTGCTTTGGGTGGCACGTGTTTGGAACAAAATGATGACAATAAGCGAATTATGAATGTATCAAACCAAAGGTGAAATAACACCTGCTAGAATTCATGTTCTTACAAATTCTTAATGAACACACAATAAAAAAGGAAACTATAGTTGAGGATTGTGTCTATCAATAAAATTCCACCAAGGCACATCAAAGTTTAATTAAAACATCAACATGTGGGAAGAAACACAATTTGACAGATAAATGTGAATATCATGGCATTGTCATGAGCTTTTCTAATGAGATTAGGCTCCTTTTTTAATTGACATTTCCAATTGAGGCACAGATAAAACAGATTTAATGGGAGCAGTTATATATAGCTGGACTCTAGCTAGATGAATAAGTGTTTGACATTTAAATATCATAAACGATATATAATATACTACTCTTGCTAACCCAGTGTCAATATTAAGGGCACACAGATACTTTACACTCACAAAGCACAGAGAACATCAAACATAATGTAAATCTAGTTCATGAATGCACTGTTGCATCAAATCATTTCCATTCGATGCCGGTAAGTCTCAGATAAAAAAAGAAAAAAAAACAACTAGAATCCCTATGGGTAATTTAATTTCTTGTTTATAAAAATGAATGGGAGGTTATAAAGTTGCTCCTGAAAGTGTGTCAATGATTTTCTTTTTCAAATAACACTAATAAGGTGCTTTTCTGGAATTATTTTCATTTGGTACTAACAAAAGACACCACAAAAATTCCATCAATGAATGCAAGGTTGCACCATGGTCAAGACAAAGAAATAAACCCATCATTTATTTTAAAATATCAATGCAAGAGCTTCTTTCTTTATTGGCCTTTAATGAGGTTTCCACCATGAATTCACGTTAAGCACTTTAGCTTAATGAACAGAATTTGCTATTATGAAGTCTCCTTTGTATCAAGACTAAAATCCAGGTACTGCAGCTTCAGGATCTACAGCATGGTCCATTGCATTTAGTTTCCCAAGAGTCATCTGTGGCCTCTGGGGTCAAAGCCATTCTCCTCTATTTGTTCAATTTACAGCTGGAGTTCTTCTCATAATGCGGCATGTATCAAAGAATCATTGCACTCCTACAAAAGTTTAAACACAACTGAATAGTAACAGAGGATGTACTAAACATAGAAGAGAGAGCATTTAGCTCTGGGAGGTAAGATTTTACTGAGCATGGTGAATATAAAGAGAAAATAAATGATATGAAGATTATATGCTTTAAAATGTTATGCTGCCTAAATATTTATGCACAAACACAATTTCAGTGACTTCAATATGGATTTATGGATATACAGAGGGTATAGATATATTTATAAATATATGTAGGTCTGATGATGGCTGACCAGCCATCCTAACACAGCCTAAGCACTGGCTGCTGATTATTTTCAGAGGAAAAATAATTAGTAAGATTAAGAATTGTGTATTAATAGCTCCCAAATATTTATGATGCACCTACTAAGGTCCAGACACAAAAATAAATAATACATTTTCCCTAGCCTCCAGCAGTTAGGCTTTGGGATTGGTAAGAATATACTATAGCAATCACATTAAGTAGACCTGTGACTTTGCCTGAATGTTTAGCACAGGCTTTATACTGGGGGTAGTGCACGAACTGAATACTAAAGGACAGGGAGCTGTTTTTTTGTTGGTTTGTTTGTTTGTTTACAAAAAAAATATGGAAAAGAAAATAGAAAAGGTGATTTCTATATAATGCATGAGAAAACAAGGCCATAACCAATGGCCACAAGTTCAGCAACTCCAGATTTCATGGTTTAAAAACTGGACTACACAAAATGTCTTTGTGCAGCAAAAAGCAGGAGGTGTGAGCAGCACAAGAAACTATGTTGCGTCCTAGACCTCTGCCCAGAGCTCAATCAGAGCAGCTCAGTTTTATTTTTCCATACCAAACTTAAAACTTGATTTCCTTTGAAGAAATCAGCTGCTGCTAAGAAAGCACATTTGAAAAATAACTGCATTAGAGGCTCAAAGTCCATGGTGGAATGTGTTGAAAGTGGCACTGGAAAGAGTCCAGGTTAATTATGGCCTGGCATGCCCAAGCTGATGGTTTGGACTTCAATCTAGGACAGGAAGCCCAACGAAGGGTGTGATCAGGTAAATGAAGAGTTCAGCTTTGCTTCTCTGAAAGGTAAGTCCAGCAGAGAATGGAGAACGGTTTGCCTTGAGGGTCAGACAACAGAAGCTAAAAGCTTCAAGAGCAGACAGCCTTTAGCCTAGCCTAGAGTCTATAGTCCACAACCAAGGAAACTCGGATGGAGTGGAGGATTATCAAGCTTTTGAATGAAAGAGAAAGAACAGCCCACATGCATTTCTACACCCGATGAAGGTGAGTGGTTGTGAATGGGTGTCACACATCTTTATTTAAGAAAATATTCTTAACTTGATTAACAGAAAGCTCATTCTTGATGCCAAGTTTTATTTGTAATATTTATGCATCTAACCAAAACAAACAAAATGTATATGAACAAATTTATTATCCTTCTCAGAGCTAAAATCATGCTGACTTCTATACGCAGAGTCCATTATTACAACTAGGTACTTAAGCCAAATACTTACGTAGCAGGTCTTAAGGATTTTAGGGTGAGAAAATAATCATATTAAGTAGTTTGCCTTCTATTATAGATTTTAAAACTACGGCCCAGAAAACTTAAATAGCTCACGCAATGTCACACAGCAAGTCAGTGGTGAGGCCGGCATTCCGAACCGTGTTTGTGCAGCCCTGACCCTACTCTTTCTCCTGTTCTCCCCGCGCCCCACACACATGCTCTCAACTCTTCCTTATTACTTTTTTTAATGCCTGGAATTCTATCAATGACTCTTACAAAGCATAGCAGCTCCTGGAAATTTAAATATCCCTGAAGTGAGCAATAACCTGCTCAGGTTGGAGGAAGGGACCATTTCCCAAGATGGTGGGTGGATGAGCCCCCAGTGTAACTTGCGTGTTGGCCCAGATTGGCTTAGGCAGACATGCACAGGAGCTGTGGTCTAACCTCTTAGAAATATAGCCATGCCAAGATCTTCCTCAGCTGCCCTATGCATTCTACACCTCTGTTAAAACACATTTTACTGTGTGTTTGTAATGGAAGTATCTTTTTTGTCCTCAGACTACAGTACCAGTTCATCCCAGGGTGTGGGTACATGAATTCATCTCCTGCCTCTCCAGGCCAGCCTCTAACACTGAGTCTAAGTTCCCTTTCTCCCATTTTGTAGGTTGTATCTTCACTCTGTTGGTTATTTCCTTTGCTGTGCGAAAGTTTTTTAATTTGATAGAACCACTGTGGAAATCAGTGTGGAGATTTCTCAAAAACACAAAAAAAATAGAAGTTCCATTTGAACCAGGTCTTTCCTTTCTTAATGTATTCCCAAAAGAGTTAAAGACATCATATTACAATAATACATTCATACCGACATTGATAGAATACAATTCATAACAGCTAAATCTTGGAAGCAGCCTATATGTCCATCAACAGATGGATGGATAAAGAAACTATGGTATTTATATGCAATGAACAACTACTCTATTATAAAAAGAATAAACTTGAGTCATTTGGAGAAAAATGGATGCACCTTAAGACCATATTAAGTAAAATAAATCAGACACACAAGTTTGAATATGGTATGGTTTCCCTCATATGAAAAACCTAGGTATAAATAAATTATAGAGCAAAATAAAAGGAACCAAGGAGATAGATTTTTACAAATGGGAAGGTGATGAAGAGATGGGAGTTGAAAAGGGAAAAAAATTAAGATGTGTTATGTACATGTACCAACACCCCAGGATGAATCTAATCATTATGTACTGTGAACTCATATGAATTAAAATAAAATAAAATAAAATAAAATCCCTCTTTCTATCCTTCTCAAGGGAGTGAAATGACTTCATAGAGCTCACAGACATGCATAGGATGGGTGGGTTAATGCCTGTCCACACCGCAGGGGCTGAACTTTGGCGCAACATGTTTAGGTCCAATAGGGCTTGCTGGCCATGTGAGGAGTGACAAGGTTTATAGTGGCCACCGAGAAGTAAATAAGTAGTTGAAGGGCCAAGGACAGAATAGTAGCCTTCCTCGGTCAGTTGTCCCACAAGGAGAGGTGCCAGAATGGACTCAAAGTCCAGCAGGCTTCTCCCCTCCATGGACTCTGGAATCTTCCAAGAAGGGTAGTTTTTCCTTACAGCCCAGAGCCTAAGCCCTTTTTTTTTTCCATTTCCTATGTTTCTACCAGCTCTGCTTTTAGATTTTAAAACAGGCTCTTCGGGATCCAGGGTGCCCTTATCATTCCCAAACTCTGCATAGATGCTCTCAAGGCCAGGGCCAAATCTCGTGGGTCTTTTAACCATTCTTGGATCCTAGCACATGCCATATCCGTAAATGTTTGAAGAATGAATGCATGGTGTCTACTTCAAAGAGAGCAATGGCAAAGAACAGTCAACTGCATGCAGCTTTGTTGCCACAGAAACCAACAAGTGACCTCTGTGGGAAAAAAAAAGGGTATCTAGGGGCACAGAAAGGTAGGAAGAGCAGCACTATAAGTGAGCTTTTCCTATTAATCTATAGAACAAGCAAACCAAAAGGCCTGGTGAGCAGCAACCCACACTAAGGACCCACTATCTTTGGCTCTACCCCTATCTTTGGCAATTGCTGAGGCAGGCTTGGGTTTAAATATTGGATTGGAGTGAGGAACAGGAGAGTAAATAAAGGGACCCAAACAGACATGTATGACTGTGCCTCTGTTATCATTCACGTTAAGAATCTGTATGGTTGCTGGGTGATGGGATACTCAGGAGCCCTTGGTTTCTGTCTTTGGGGTGAAGCAAGGGTGTTAAACAAGCCTGATCAACAGCTTTTAAGGAGATGCTTGTGTTTCTCATCACTAATTATTCAATTAACTGGTTCAGCCATCAGCCAACTTTTTATTGTTCTATGAGGATGCTCAGAGGCTAACATCCTGTAAATTCTATTACGACACTAGGAATCCAGTGATAACTGCTACTCCTATCCAACAGCTTAATAAAGGAGCAGGTTACTATTCGAAAATTATCTAGCCATACGGAAGTGAAACGGCAAAGCACAGAAGGATTTTGCTCAGATAAGGGTGTGGTGAGTAAGCAAACAGAGCCATGGCACTAATTTCCCTGCTTCCTAGAGGGGTGACTTCCTCCTTCAATGACCAGACAGGAAAAGAGATGCAATTTTCCTATCATCTCTGCACTCAGGGTGAGCCCAGTTTTGACATTTTAATACATTGTTTTATAAATAAGAAAAGCATCTGTCTGAATGGTGCTCTCTCCGTTCCCTATGGAGATAGATCTTCCTTGTGCTGTAAAGGCTGCAGGAAGAGCTGAACTGATAAGAAAGATTAATAATGAAGTGGATAACGCAGTTACCAGTAGTTGTACAAATAATGTGGTGAATCAGTCTAAAAAACTACTACTGTTAATTCATCACCTCTTGAGTCAAGGAGGCCAATCTTGATTTATCTTGATTTTAGATGCTAGCCATAACACTATAACCTATTAAAAAATAAGAATGTACCAAATCCAACAGGCCTAAGTCCTAAAAATATTTCTCTACATTAAAAATGTCACTCTGGAACAATAAATAAGTAAACATTTTGGCCAAGTATAATATTCCCTTACATCTGAAATAAGATTTATTTGAGCCTAGTATGACTTAAATTGTAGAGAAGAGAAATGTAATCAAATATTCGCAATACAATGTCATAAGACTTAGAAGAGAATTGAGCAATAAGATATGTGAGCACAAAGTGGCTAATAATATCCTGCAAATAAATCTTTTGAAAAGAAATACAATGCAGGGAATAGAAATGACATGTAATCTTCTATTTATTTTAATTTTTCTTGAACAGTACATGACATATATATGTCTATCTACACACATATATCATACGCATATTTACACACACATATGGCCATGTGTATTTCTTTATGCACTTACAGTTAAAGCACCAAGAAATACACAATGCCATTGTGGTAAGACCGGCCTACTCATGTCCTGTTAACAGAAAAGTGTTTGGTCCATTTGCTGTCCCCTCCAAAAAAAAGTAATTGACAAGTCTAGGTCATTTTACTTATTCTTTTCATGGAAGTTGTCAATTACTTTTTTTTTTGATACTGGGGATCTAACTTGGGTCCTTGATCTTGCGAGGCAGGCAGCAGAACCGCTGAGCTAAATCCCCAGCCCTGTCATTACATTTTATTTCATCTTCATTTGTGGAGAAAATGTATACCATCAAACTGCAAACTGACTCAGAAACCCTGCTTTAATACAGCAACATATTTGTTCCTGTGCTTTGTCGTCCCATAATGTAACCTAAGACTAGTTGATGTGGCAAGTAATTTTGTCCTTTAACATAAAAACAGCCCCAAACACCTATAAACTTGACTTTTGCTCTAATCCTGAGATTAGCTGCGTGCATAATGATGTAGTAAGTAATTGAAAAAAAAGGGAAAATAAAAACCCATTTTCTGTACTTAATGATGACCTCGACTCTCCTTCCATTTCTAGTTCACTTGGAGGTATTTTCTAACTGAGCACTAAACCTGCTGATCACCACACCCACGGAGAGGCTGCTGGAAGAACCACAATAACTTCTTGAGGATCAAATCACAGCCATCTAAATTACTCCTTTGACAGAGTAATGGATCTTGCAGGTGAAAGGGAGCAGTAGGTGTCATTTATCTTGACTTCACAAGACTTGTCAACTCTTCTTGGTCTTTTCTGAAGAACACATTCATAAATAATTTGGCAAATTATGACTTGGACCTCAAAAACTTTGAGGTAATCTACCAGCACCTGAAATTGGGGACTCCAAAAATAAAGGTGGTTATCTTTATATCTTTGGGTGGAATGGGAATCACAAAACAATTTATCTGGTAAATGTATTGAGCCTGATCCTAGCTACAATTGATATGAGGGACTTAGATGTTGGATGATTCAAGTTCCTTTAATTCAGTAAGAGCCCATTTGTCTAATGGACTGCAGTGGAGCTGAGCAGGGGCCATGCCAATGATGGTGGCTTGCACTCTGAGAACTGGCTTCTCACTTGAGCAGCTCAGGTGACACAAGGGTTTTCAGGGGTTTAATTGTATCCCCCTAGATTCCATGCATGAAGTCCCAGCCCCCTGATCCCTTGGAATGTGACCTCATGAAGAGCAGATCTTAAAACAGGTAGTTAAAATGATGAGGTCATTAGCATGAGCCATACTCCAATATGACTGCTGGCTTCAGAGGAAATTTAGAAACAGATGTGCCCTGAAAAAAGCTGTGTGAAGATACAGGGAAGAAACAGCTACTGGCAGGCCAGGGAGAGAGACCTCAGGAGAAACCACTCTGCTGACATCTCAGACTTCCAGTCTCCAGATCTGGGACAGAAAACATTTCTGTTGTTAAGCTGACCAGGCTAGTGCTTTGCTAGCATTCCAGCAAACTTATATGTATCCTTGCACCAAGAAGCAGCTTTGGGCTGCCTGTGGTGCACATGTGGCCCTGACTGGAACAGAGAGGACCAAATAACCTGAACAAAAATGAACAATAGGGTGCCCAGGAGCTCGGGTCTCTGCCCAATGAGGCAATGATTGTGAATTACCGTCCAGGTTGGCTAACTCCATGATTTGCAGTGGTAACTCCTGTGAATTATGGCTGAGATCGAATAAAGGGTGAAATGGACAAAGAAAAAGTAGCAGCACAGGGGGAGACCATCTGGGTTGTCAGTGACAGTTGGAGAGAGAGGTGCATCCTTCAAGCTGCTTCAGACTGGCTTCCAAATCTCATTTCAATCCTCATTTAACCTTAGAATAATATTGCCTGCTTTGTTCCTTGATTTCTTAAGCCCCTGTGTACAATGAGATGTCCAGAGGAGAATGGCTGTTACATCTTTTCAAAACTGGGAAAGCTGTTATTCCAAATGGTAAAATCAAAAGCTTCCAAGTTGGAAACTGGATTTGCCTTTGGGAGGGATCATTCTTTATTTGACAAGAAACCTTTCATGGGACACTTTTATTCTGCAAATATGAAAACAATCCCACTCATTTTGTTCTAGAGGAAGCTCTCTTAGATGAAATACTTCAGAAGACTTTTCTTCAGAATGAAATAGAAAATAAGTGCATCTTCTAGCATTGAAAAATTTAAAGTATAGTTCTTTCCCAAATTTAAAAACACAGTTCTCAATTTTCTGTAAATCTGGGTTTGTATTTAGATTTATGGAGATCTAAATGTATAAAATTAAGTTTATACTTAAAATTACAATTTGTATGAGGGCAGCATGTGTGTTGGTGGATATGTGTGTTGGGGGGCTGGGAATATTGTTTTGATTTTTGTTCTCAATCTTATTCAAGCACTGGCCCATCCTCAGAGGTCAGCAGTGGAGACTGGACTCCTACAATGAAATGGTAAAACCTGACCTCTGAACTTGGCATTGAACTGGAAGAAAGATTAGACATGGCACAGCAGATGCTAGAAATACTTGGATGCTGCATTTACTTGATTTGAGACTAAAGGTGAAGATGGTATGTTGAATCCATGCATTTATCTCTTCTTTCTCCTGAAATATAACAGAGAAACGAATAAAGGAGATCAAATGATATAACTGAGAGTGTGAAATAGGAAGAAAATGGCCAAAGGGGAAGTGGGAAGGGGAGGTGAAAGGAAATAAAGGAAAAGAAAAAAATGTGAAAAAAAATGAAAAGGAAACAAAGTCTAAAGGTGAAGATGGTATGTTGAATCCATGCATTTATCTCTTCTTTCTCCTGAAATATAACAGAGAAACGAATAAAGGAGATCAAATGATATAACTGAGAGTGTGAAATAGGAAGAAAATGGCCAAAGGGGAAGTGGGAAGGGGAGGTGAAAGGAAATAAAGGAAAAGAAAAAAATGTGAAAAAAAATGAAAAATGGAAACAAAGTCTTTGTAAATAGGGAAGGGTGAAGGGGGTGAAGGGAGGGCAGGGGTATGGGGAAAAAAGAACCAAGATACATCATGTAAAGGAACAAGATCCCAATGATAAATGTAACTGTATTGTTTGTTGTAAATGTACCAATAGTTTAATGGGAAAAAAAAAGTCCATCAACTCACAAGGATCTTTCTTTTGGGATTCAGGAGGAAGCAACATCAACTAAGAGACATCAACAATGTTACCAAAAGCAGAGCTGAAAAATAAGTCTGTGGGGTATGGGAGGGAAATTAAGGGAGGCCTACATCAAGTAATGAGCAGTGGAGCAGAGATTTCAGAGATCTCTAAGATTTTCCCCACCAGGAGAAAGGGATGTTTATTTTCTGCTGGGACAGAACTACAGTAAAGTGAACTTGGGAACCAGGAGCCCATTTGACAGTCACAGAGAAGCGTGCAAATGAGCAGCTGAGAGTCTGCTGCTGAGAGGGAAAAGCCTGGCTTCTTTCTCACCGAGGTCCACAGAACCAGCAGCCTTGATCGCTCCTCCAGGTGAAGTTCCATGACTTTTCTCTAAGGACGAGGACCACTTGTGTGGAAGAAGAAATAACAGTGAGACCAGGGGGAGTTGAAATTTGGAGATCTCCTAGCTAAAAAGCTGGCTCACTTTGTGATCACCTTTTACTCTCTTACTAGTGGGCATAAACAAATACCCAGATACTTGGCAAAATCTTTCCACATGATAAGGAGGGGCAAAGACAAACAAAACAAATTAAAAACAAAAATAACCCTTGGGGGGAGAAAAAAGGAATGTTACAGAAAGTTTTTAAAAAGTAATTAAAAAGAGTCCTCAGACAAGAGAAATATTGTGCTCATGAAACAAGGATTGGATACTATGAAAAGAAAGAATGCTATATTAGACATTAAAATTTTAATATTAAGAATGGAAAATATCAGCAGGAAAATTAGAAGATAGAAGCTGAAGAAAGGTCCCAGGAACTGAATCAAGATTTCAAGAAAGGAAAATACAAGAAAAAACATAAGTCAATCAGAGCATCAGCCTAAGTAATCCTAGGAAGGTGAACAACTGACTCATAGGGAGTTTTAAAAAGAGATTAAGAAAACAAGAGAAAAAGTTCAAAATTCAATACAGAAAATATTCTGTACAAATAAAGTACAAGTGTTTCTAGATTAAATTGTTCAAAAAGTTTCTAGAAAGCAAAATGACTGATAAAAATTAACACCCAGCCACATCATCTTGAAGCTTCAGAGAAGGAAGATTCTACCAGCTAAGAAGAAGGAAATATTAGTTTATCTCTTGGATTTGGCTAAATAATACCCAAAGACAGCCATTAGAAATTAGAACGGTTCCTAATTTCTAGGTTCTTTACAAATGTAATATAGATCTTAAAATGAGGATGTCATTCTGGATTATCAAGCAGGGCTCTAAATAGCATCATACTTGTCCTTAGGAGAGGGGGCAAAGGGGGATTTAAAGCAGGTAGAGGGGAGGGTGAAGTAAAGATGGAACAGAAAGGACCCTGGCCTTGGAGATTGATGATTTATGTCCACAAGCAGCAAAAGGACGGCAGCTACCTGAAGCCAGAAGCATGAGGCTTCCTCTCTAGTGCCTCCAGAAGGAACATGACCTGCTGACATTCTGATTTCAACCAGTGACACTGATTTCAGACTTCTGGCCTTCCGAACTGTGAAACAATAATTCTGTTGTCCTAAGTCACCCGATGTGCTGTAAGTTGTTTCAGCAACCAGAAGAAACAAAAGCACCTCCAAAAGGTCAAGAGTCAAAATTGTATCCAGATTCTCATAAATACTAGAAAAGAGAAGACCCTTCCAATCCCCAGAGGAAATGACTTCCAACCCAGAATTACAAACTAAGTAATTGATCAGTTAAGCACAAGGACAAATTAAAGTCTTATTTAAATATATAAAGTCTTAAAAAACAGTTACCTTCCTTCTATTCACTCTAAGAAGCTACTAAGAGTTTGTACCTCTATCAACATGAAGGAAAAACCAAGAGAAAAAAAGGATCGAGATCCACAAAATTAGAGGTCCAACATAGGAAAGCAATGAATGGCTCTGACAAGATGAAAGGAAAAGAAAGCTTTGGAATATGGCTGTAAATAGTCTGAGGCCAGCTGAGTCTGGAAGCAGAGGGCTTCAGGAGGGGTATTGCCAAGAAAACAAGTGGGCTTTAGAGATGACCTGGCATGCTTGATATGACTGATTGGAGTATTCAATGCTGATAGAACATCTGAGGATGCATTAATAATAGGTACAAAGACTAATGAAAGAAACAAAGCAATGTTACATAAAATATATTATGAGAAAGGAAAGAGCCTTTGTGGGTCAACTGAGAACAATGCGTAAAAATAAATAATAAATATTGACTAACCAGTTGGCAATATATCTGTGCAGGAGGTACACAAAAGGAAGTACAATGCATAAATCCTCATATCCCATACCGTGGAGCCACTGCATAATATTTATCATGAAAAACAAACAATGACGTGAGCATGGTATTTAGGAATATGAATATTTATGACAGAAGAAAAATATTTAAAAGAGGCTATTGTCAGGGAGCAAATAAATATTGCAAATGGGTCCAGTGAGGCAGGAGAATGCTGACTGTATTATAAATCATGTAATATTCTAACTTTTTAATTTTGCTTTGAGGTGTTACTTTGATAAAATTTTTAAATTGAATAAAGCATAACTTGATGTGATGGGCTAAGTTGTATCCCTCATACCTATTCGTTGAGGTCTTCACCCACAGTACATTAGAATGTAACCTTATTTAATGACAGGGTCTTTAAAGAAATGAATGAATTAGATGAGATCCTTCAAACGGGCCCTAATTTAGGATGACTGCTGTCCTTATTAAAGGAAGAAATGTGACACAGGTACACACACAAGGTGAACAAGTGGACAAGTGGACAAGAACACCATCTACAAGCCACGGAGAGAGGTCTTGGAATAAAGCTTCTTGTATATCAATCCTGCAGATATCCTGATGTTGAACTTCCAGTCTCCAGTGATATGAGAAAATAAATTTATGTTCTTGAACTCCCACAGCCTTGGCGCTTTGTTACACCATCCCCAGCAAACGAATACACTTGACAATTGCGTTATGGTAATTGCTTTATGTAGGACATGGATCCAGGACGTAATCTCACAATTGGTTGGAAATAGTTTCAACTGAAGGGAATTTCCACTCTCAGTCATGTCCGGAAGAGGCTAAATTCTGGTGCTGGAGATGAGCTGTCTTTCAAATGTATACGGGAGGGGGCTCGGGATTTAGCTCAGTGGCTCCACAGCCTGCCTGGCAAGCATAAGGACCAGAGTTCGATCCCTGGTACCCCCCCAAAAAAATTAAAATGCATAGGGAAGAAGAGATTTCTTTCTGATGTGGGTGTAGGAGGATTTGGGAGAGAGTAAATTGTGGCATTTGGGGCTGTACTCAGAAATTCCAAAATACAGTAGTACCTCAGTTCATGAAATTAATTTGCTCTACGATTTTGGAAAAGATAGCCATGTTTTCATTTGTGTAGGAAAGATAGCTGTGGTGGTCATGTTTGTCACCTGATGCAGTTTGCAAACAAAAACAAAATTTTGCCAAGTGGTTCTGTTTGCAAACCAAATTGTTGCAAACAAAAGTGTTTATGAAGTGAGGTACCACTGTATTCGGGGCCTTTTTAACAATCAGGTAAGCTAGCTGCCTCTAACCCATGAGCAAACCGGAAAGAATCTGGTCTAGCACAGATTCTCTAGAGGTCAGATTTTGCCTGGGGAGGGCCTTCTAGTCACCATTGTATACTTGCTCCAGTGTATACTTTCATGATCCCTAAGTGCTTAGTAAAGTCTAGTTGAATACATAGTCTGATCTTGGTTGCCATTGGGTCTGACCCCAGGTAGCAGAAAGAATGACCAAGGAGCAGCCAGAGCATAGTTAGGGTCCCCAAGGAGGACAATTGTGCCTGCATGACAGAAAACACATACTAGTCTTTGGCTGAGCTGGCAGCAAAATATGTTCCATTTCTGTTTCTTTGTTAGTATGCATTTCGCATAACATGTCTTCTTCCAAGGGCCAAGGGGTTGCTTAAAGGCCTAAGAAAATATTTGATTTTAAAAAACAAAGCTAAATTCAAAAATATACCAAGAACAGTTCAATGCGTTATTTATTGAATATCTCATCTTACCTCCATCTGAATACATAAGCTTGGATTCCATCCAACAATAGCCACACAGGAGCTCTCCCCTGACAAATCTAGGAACAATAATCCCCTTGTGTATTGGATCCCAGCCCCTCCCAGGTACTTCCTTTCTCTCTGGTACCATCATTTTTCTTCTCGAATTATTCTCACGTGTCCACATTTTTGCTATAAAAAATCTCACACCTTTAAAAAATGTACTCTTGATCTCACATTCCCCTCTGCTCTCACCGTATCCTCTGTTCCTCTTTATATCAAACTCTCTGCAGAGTAGGCCTGTATTCACCAGCTCTGCTTTTCATCTGCCATTCTCTCATCAATGTACCTCAAAGAGACTTTTGTCCCTTCAGCACCACTCAAAATGCCTTTGCTAAGGCCAAGTCCAACAAGGACTTACTCTTAGTTGACCTCAACCTCTAAGCAGCATAAAGGCAGCTGGCCACTCCCATCTTCTTAAAGCATTTTCTTTATTTGGCTTCCAGGACATCAGATTCTCCTGTCTTTGTTTCATCTCTCACCTCACTTTTGAGTCTTTGCAGATTAAATCCACCCCGCCCCTCTGGACTGCTAAATACCAAAGGCTCAGTTCTATTTTAACCTTGCTTTCTATACTTATTTCAGAGATGATTTCATCCTATTTCATGACTTTAAAAATATTATATAATCTGATGACTCTCAGTTTTTAATCTATAGCCTCTGTTCATCTCCTGACTTCCACATTAGTGGGTTTTAGACTGGTAAAGCCTGACTTTTCTGATCTACCTCACACACCCACTTCCCTCCTATTTTCCCCATTAAAGAATTGTAGCACAACTCTCTGAGTCCATAGAATAACTGTGATGACAATTTCCTACTATTTTGCCTTAGGACAGAAGATCCCTATTTTGTACCTCTTTTATTAGAAAACTTCTACTATTTTTATACACTCTTTTTTTTTTTCAGTGCAAGATTTAGACCAAATGCAGCAATAGAAACATAAAAGAAAAAAGTTCTAAAGAGAAGCAAAAGGGTTACTACTACCCCAAAATACAAGTGGAGCCATCAGCTTTTTTCTTTTCTACCCTCTGGTTACCAACTCTTCAGAAAGTACAGAATGAGAAAGGGGTTATGGTAGATAAGTTTAATTGTCTCAACTTGATTGGCTTGGAAGCAGCCTTAGGGATTAGTAAGCACACTTCTGGGAGTATCTGGGTGTCTGAATGAGTCATGGAGGCATGAATTAGGAACTATATCCAGTCCCTCACCTCCTCTTTGGCTCTGTTTCCCTCCTCTGCTTCCAAGCCATTATGGACTAAGCATCTTTACTCAGCCAATCCTTTCTGTCGTGATGTTTTTATCTTGGAGTGAGCTAACCATGAACCAAACCCCCATGAACCAAACCCCCATGAAACTGTGAGCCATATTAAAACTGCCCTCATTTAAGCTGTGAATGTCCAGTATTATGTCTTAGCAATGGAATGGGGAAGAAATTTAATACTGGGGTTTTGTCATTGCTGGAGAGTCTCAAAGAAGCACAAAGGAAGCCTCCTCTGTGTGTGCTTCAATGAGTTCTGGCCAAACAGGCCACTAAGGTAGATGCAGTGGCATTTTCCCTTCAACTACTTGTAAGAGGGTAGGTCACATCCTGTTCTGGAAGATTTCAAGAAATATCTTCCCAGAAGAGAGGAAGAAGGACCCAATAACTTCCCAAGAGCCCATATAATTCCAAGATATACAGTGCACCATGACATTACCACCATACTTTGATGACACAATGCAGTAAACATGGAACATTAAACCTGGCACCATCTGGGAACTTTCTTGGTCTACACAAACTCAGGAGACATACAGGGTTCACAACAAAGATGTTTGTACATGTGTGTGTGCCTTCAGCATTGTTTATTTCATTTTAATACACAGTGCCCTTCAAGTTTCCTTTTAAATCTACCACAAATAACAGGTTTTAGCACATCAGGTGATATTTTGCTTCCTGAAGCATTTAAATTCATTTTCTATTACCAATGCAAATGTGTACTTTCCAATTTACCCACTGCACAATAAAACCTAATTTAAAGCAATTAATGTTCATTAATGGCCCCATCTGCATGTTTATCACTTTATCCTTAAATACTTGAGACATGGTATCCATATTTTATAGCTCACTTCTTATCAGCAAGAATCCAATCCTCAAGGGTAAATGTAAGACTAATGCGCCAGCAGCTCATATACGGACCAAAAACTACATTGCATTTAAAAAAAATGAGAATAACGAGAAGAAAAGAAAACAGGCTAAATGTGTATATGTGAATGTGACTAATAATAAATGTACCTAGGGCAAAAGGTTTGTAATAGCATGCTCTTCTCCTTCTGTCTCTTCCTCCTGTCTCTTCCTGATGTGGCAAAACAATGAATACATGCTGGGAAGTTCTTCAGGCTTCTGGAAGGATTTTGCCAGAAATTCTGGGACACAGTGCAGTAGCATCAACCCTGGGAGATTTCCTACCATGGTCCCCTGCCGAAGGCCACTGCCTTGCAGGAAATAGACAAGTAAAATGGCAAGTTTTTCTATGTCACAAAGCATTTTGACCAAGCAGTTTAATATCAGGTAGAAGTTTCTTTGCCAATTGTAAACATATCAAAACATTTTGAGCTCAAGTATCAGTTTTATCACCCTGCTTGATTTGGTTTATCTCAGTCATTACTGAATAAAAGAATATGTTAAAGTATAAAGGCATGTTATGATTAAAACAGTAGGCTCTGCCAGGCCAGAAAACCAGGCTTCGAATTCTAGTGGCCCCCTGCCTCCTAGCTGGTAAGTTACAGGAACCTGGGAGGGAAGGTAACACACGGTTCAGAATCTAAATGCTTAAGGTCAGCATAGCACAGGTCTCTAGGAGCTGGCTTCTAAACTTCAAGTCACTGAGTTCTATCAAGTCATTGAGCTCTACTGTTCATTCCTGATTTTCACTGTAAATCTGGCTAAAGGCAGCCAGCAATACCCATCCCACAGCCTGAATATTGAGCTGTTTTGAAATTTTCTCTGCCAGATTAATTAGTCCATCTCCCTTAAAATTAGTCTTCTGCAAAGTCTCAGTTCCAGGGCAGAAAAGGAATGGTAGAGAGGCATGGCAGTAGGAAAGTTGTTCAAGCCATGGCAGCCCAGAAGCAGAGAGCAAAGGGAGGAGCTCTATAGGGTGATACATCTGGGAGGAGCTCTATAGGGTGATACATCTTCCCAGGTCAGACCTCCGATGACCTGTCTCTTTTGACGAGGCCCTACCTTCTAATAGCACATTTACCTTTGAATTCAGCAGTACGTTAATCCACTGATGAATACAGTGGCCCAACAATCCCTTCCAAAAGCCCCATCTCTTAACACATGAGCCTTCTGTGGAACATTCTAGACTTGATCCATAACACCACCTATGCGGTATATGACCTTTCAGTGTCCCAATTTTCTCATCTTGCACAATGGGTATCATAACAATGTCCTTCTCAAAAGTTGTCATAACGATTGAAATGAATTAATTTGTGGAAATTGCTTGATAAAGGTTACAGGGAGAATGTGAGACTTAGTGAATGTTAGAGGAAAAAACAGAGAGTACTTTGGAAATATTAGATATTTTCATTAAAACTCCCTGGACTCACAGATTGTGCTGCTAACATGTAGCTTCTGGGCCTAGAGACAAGAAAGCTAGCAAAGAGTACCTGCAGGTGGCTTTTCTCAACTCACCACCCCTGTCCTCATCCTAGAGGAAGGCCTGGTAAGCGTCCTTTCTGTGATATTGTTCTGGCTCAAATCTGACAGCCAGATGCACATCTTAATGAGGGAGGGAGGAAGGGAAAGGGGGAAAGAGAGAGAGAAGCTGGGAGGACATATTTACACTATTCTAACAAAAAAAGCAAG